ACGACAATTTTTTTTAATGAATTAAAAACTCACCGTTGTTGAAAGAATTGTAATATTGTTTCTGTAGTTTTTGGTGTATCTTTTAACGCAACGGCTACATGGCCCAGCATAATCACAATATTTGTGCTGATTAACGAGGATTCACTGAAAAAGAAAACTGATTATTTAATAAATTTTATTGACTTTTATTTAAGTTTATGTCTCCAGATTCACAAATAAAGAGAAAGATTTAGTGAGTTTTAATTTATTTTGCCTAGGTTTTGGTCCGTGTAAAATGTTTTTTAAAAAGGCTACTGCTACTACACAAACACTTTAAAATAATATTTAACTAAAATAGTTATTAAAAAAATGCATCATAATTATAAGTATAACAGTATACCTATCACTGGTTTCAGCAGTAAACAGTCTATTACTGACAGAACCAACAAGCGCGGGAACACAATATGGATCCACAGATAATGCAGCATCCAGGGCAACACACAGATTCTCTATGGCTGCATCTCGAAGCTTCTCGAAGGGAGTTGACTTTGTGGGTGCACCCGTATCTGTTACTCCGGGTTCTTTGGTTTGAACTGAAACTTAAATTATTATTTAAGCATACACCGTTTCTTAAGTGTTCTAACAGAACAGCTGCTTTAGAAGTGATTTCTAACTTTGAAACATGAATAGTACTAAAAGCAAACGCTTTTGATAATTAGTGTCAAAGGGGCCATTCAAGTATTACGTAAGCACTAAAGGGGGGATGGGGGATGATTCTTTAAGTTTCTGGTGATTACGTCAACAGTAATTATTTACTTTTTTACACATGTCTATGTTTTAAAACAAATTAATACGTTTTTATTTGATTTCTAAAAAAATATATATGTACTATTATTTTTGAGAGTTTGCTTTCTTTTGCTGACAAGAGGAGGGGGGGGGATAAATTAGTAAATAAATATATGTAATACTTGAACGACCCCAAAGCATTAATGTTATAAATTTCAAATTGGATTTTTTTGTAAATAAAAGACTCAATTTACTATACCATAGTATTTGATTCTCACAAACAAGTTACGTATATACCTTTTATATGATCTTTCCCAGATCTCTCTAGTTCTAGCTTGTGGAGTTTAAACAGTATGGGAGATGGAGTGACGAGAAAATCTCGGAGACAATAAATTGAAGTATTAGCTATAGTTGGGAATTTTGTTGCCAATTTACCGAGACCCTGAAACAAAAAGTATTGCAAATTATATGTGTCCTTTAAAATTCCATTGCAGAATTAAAATGTGACGTAGGTATCTTACTCTATACTAGTCTTCCTTGGCCACTTACCTCTAAGCAAACCATGAGCAATGGCATATGAGCCAAGATTAATTTATGATTATGATTGGAATTAATTTTTTCTGTCAATCGCCCACAAAGTGAATCCGCTCCTGGAAATGTAAAATAGATTTTTTAAGTTACCATAAAATGTTGCTTTTACAAAACTTCAATTAGTTTCCAAAAAGTGTGCTCAGGATACAAAATAATGTGAAATCATACGAAAAGAAATGCAAAGAATTAGGAAATGATTGGTTTATTAGTACTTTTAAAATGCTGAAAAACAATACTGATGAATAGGGAAATTGTGATTTAATTTTCTAAATCTAAAAAACACACAAGAAAGCATTAGATATGTCGTATGTTTCAATTTCGTCACATCGGTCAAAACACAATACTGGAATCACATAAAAAAATTTATATCCTAAATATCAGATAAGGATTGTTTTAGTCAAAAGGGAAAACTCACTCCTAAAAATTATACCTATTAATATTGTAAGAGCATTTATAAGGGCTGGCACGTCATAGTCGTCATCCACTGTTATAACCAATAAAATATATATTAAGAAGCTACATATGTATAAGAGAAATAAAAATGACAGGTTGAACAGAGATGTATAGAACTTTTTCATAAACATATAAGCCTCAAATAGCTGGATATTTTGATCCTTACTTACAGACATATTTGAAAATAAAAATGGACATTTAAATAGCTTAACTATAAGCTATAGTTTATGAATAGATATAGACTGCTTTAAAAAATAATGTAACTGTGGTGCCACATAAAATTTGAACTGAATTGAGTGTAGGTTATTGAAAAGGGCATTTTTTTAAAATCACAGATTAACTTCAGGCATTAAAGTCAATTGTTTTCAAGAATATTAGTTGGTCCGAATTTTTTTAATAGCAACAGCAAAGCAATAAATTTTGATACCAGTTTAAAGAAATATATCACAATTACAAGTAAACATTAATGACTCTTCACAATTTTAAACTAGATTAAGCAATATACAAAATATTTACCTGTCTCGTCTCCAATAGCCCATACTAAGAGATCAACACAGGCTGAATTAGCCATAACATTGACTTTAAACTTATTCACTGTAGCAAAGTTTGTTTCTCTATCCTCCTTCTCAGAAGCATCATGGTGCCTACTCTGTAACTCTGTTTGACCACTTAGGAACAAACATTTAACAAATTCCTGCAAAATATTTAAACTATTAAAACTATTGTTTATATAATTATTTACTATAAAGGTTAAATATAATAAAATCAGAATCTCATTCCTATAAGAAGTACATTGGCTATTCAAGTAATAACAGTTCTTAAAATAGATCTGTAAGAAATTAATCTAATTGATGCTATTGACCAAATTGACACCAATCTGCACCAGAACATTTGCATAAAAAAAGCTAATAATACTTTTTGTTATAATATATATATATTAAATCAGAACCATAAATCGTAATTAAAAAATATAAGCTTTACCTGTACATCCTTTGTAAATGGTCCTGGTAGGTCTTTTTGGTTTTGTAAAATATCACGTAGCAATGTTACCATGACTAGATTTAATGTTTCAGAAAATGACTTGTATGGAAATACCTGTAACATCAATAGCACCCCTATAATAATCATAGTATACAATTAAACTATCATTTTAGGCAAACCATGCTAACAATTTAGCCATTAATCATTAACCAATACTATTTATTGCCAGATTACATAAAACTTACTTGAATTTGTCCCGATGCATGAATATCTTCTGCCTCCTCATCCAAAAATGCTAATAAATCTCTTGTCAACAATTTCTTTGCTAATGATAAAATTGACTGTAGATATGTTACATAAAATGGAACACCAATCCTCTTTTCTGGAGATTCAGGAAATCTCATGTATGGAAACTGGTTAAAACTAGATCCAAACTTATGAAAGAAATATGTAGTAGGGTCATAAGGTACTGAGTGATAGCTTTGTAAGGAACTTCTCTTTAGAGTCCCACGACCACTGTCAACAGTATCTGAACCATTTTCTATTATTGTCTCTGTATTTGGATTTAAATTTCCAGATAATGATCGAGGAATAATTGGTCGGAATTGGTTAAACCGTCTCTTCTTATCTAATGTAGCATATTCAAAGTTAGGTTCTGGTTCTTTAGACCGAACTGGACTGCTAGGTTGCGGGAATAATCTGCATAGTAAAGATGGTTCAACAGTTGGATATCTACCCATAGACCTTGCAAGTCCTACAAGAATTGGCACTGTACTCTTACATAACTGAAGTTTTGATGTATTATTGTAATCTTTACTTTCAAAACACGTGATTACAATTTTAGTGAGATTTGACATAAGCTCTATTTGAGCAGTGATGATTTCTTCACGTAGAGATGGGTTTTTTGATGCAACGTCTGAGAGAAGTGTATTTAAACAGAAGCTGAATTTCTCAGACATAGGGATCCCTGAAAACAAATATAAAAAAACATTTATTATCACTATTTAATGGCTTTCTATATTAATATGAGAAACATGTCATTAATAATTACTTTAAATTCAAAGTAAAATATAAAAAGAATGATTAAGATAACAAATAAAATGGCCTAGACATTGCCAATAAAATGGCCTTGACATTGCCAATAAAATGTGGCAACTTGGATTTGTAAAACTATATATTTCATACTCACGATCACCAGACTTAATTCTACACATGGGTTCCTGGAATTGTGCATTTGTAAGACATTTTAATACTTTTAGAAAATAAGGCAAGAGTTTTTCTTGATGTTGCAATCCACTCTGAAGGAAGTAAAGACCAAGTGCTATGCTAGCTTCCTGGCTCCTTGGAGTTACCACAAATGGTGAGCTAACTTGAGGACATAACATAAATAATGTGTTCACCTGGAAGTAGAATTTACTCATCAGCTGCAACTTATGTCACCGACGGACATAACTTTTAATTTTCTAAATGAATTTTAGAGTTTAAATTATAAAAACAATATGATATTAATTTAACATAGTATTGTATTTAATAAATGTAATCACGAAGGTAGATAACCTTTGTCATCGATATTGAAATCACATTATGTTTAATTTTTTTTTACTTAAATCTAACTATAATGCTTATGTCATAATAAGGTGAGGTCATATATTCTAGCACTTAAACAAACAGGTAATAAAGTGTACATGTTGTGATTAGTTTTATTACTACATAATGAAGGAATCAGTCAGACGTATACAATTGCAATACCTAGTAAACAATATTACAAAATAATTTACAATACCTTTTCCCAAGGTGTTGGATTCAAGGAGGAAAGACATCTCGCTAAGTGTTGGACTGTCTGTCTAAAGAAATCGTTTTCGTCCATTTCTCGTAGCTGTATTTAAACTCGTTTCTATATAATATACATATCTAATTCATGAAATTAGAAAATATTAAATCATCATAATATCGTAGCAGTTTCTTCTTTCTCTCACTAATCATTATTTTAAAAGTTTCATTGATTAAAGCCTGACGGTTGACATTTGATTGACAATGACAACTCTGAACTCTCACCATCATAAATTACATCATAAGAATGACATTTACTAAAATATGAAGTGTAGCTGTAATGATTTTTTATATTATATATTCATCGCTACGTATATATATATATATCCATTCAAAGCTTGAGATTAAATATCGTTATAAAAGGGTATGCCAGCAGTGTGCTGTTATTATGTATTTGAAATATTAATTGTCATAGATTATAATAAATACCTATTGTATACGATGCATGTCGAGATTTATTCGTAAAAACTCTTATACTTACTCTTTTATTACGCCTGATTCATAAAAACTAAATCAGTTATCATATTTTTACAGTATTTTATAATATTATAAACTTATAATAACATTTAGGAGAGATCAGTGACCTGAGACAATAACATCTAACGTAGTTGAGTCGTGACCCACTAACAACAACATTTTGTATTTTTGACGATTGGAATTTAATAAGAATAAGCAATAGGACTAAGACAAAAATTACCCCCAAAGGTACGCGGAAAATTATGTTGCAAGGCAGCAACATGGGTAACGGATGGCCCTTGGGTTCGTTAAACATTAAATATATAGGTGTCTGTACGCGCACGCATTCAGCGTCCATAGATGGCAGATTAAATATTAGTAGTATACTAAAATTGACAACTGCCGCGTTAGCATTGTGCAACCCTTGGCATTAAAAATCAAATTCAACCTCAAATAAAGGCAGCAAACGGAAAATTAAAAAAAAAAATGAATCAAGGTATATTTGAAATATTTTTTTGCCGCGTGTTTTTAATTTATTTAGTACTTTTTATCAGGTTTTCTGAAATAATAGTAAATATTTGTAGAAAAATTAATTTTATTAACCAGAAAAACAGTCAAACAGACTTAATAAATACAAAATCACATTAAATTTTTATTATTGTACTATAATTTGACAAATTTACAGCACCCTGCAGTGTCTTCTTTTGTAGATTCTGTAATAAAGAATACAATAAAATAAATACAAATACAAAAAAACAATTGGTTTACTGACGATAGTTGAATGTGGCAACGTCATAACAAAATACTGATGGAATGGTTGCATTTTTCAAAAGAAAATTTTAATTTTATTTGTTTGATAGATTGTATGGATGTATAGAAGGAGGTAAATGGAAATTACAATTGAATTGATCGACTACAATATAATCGATAAAATACGATATATATACTTTGTATACAATAAAGATGTCGAACGCTGCCGAACGCGGAGGCCGATTGTGCCTCTTTGTTGCTCGTTCCGCGCTCTCGCTTGCACTTCAAGCCTTAAATGGAACCCTCAAGCGAGGTAACGCCGCATGCGTCATGTTTTTTCGTGCGTGCAGCCGGCTCCATCGAATTATAAGACGTTGCCACGTCAATAATATAGAAGTAAACGTCAACTGTATTTATGAAATTTACTCAGTGTTCGGTTTCAGAGTTCAGAATTGAATAGGTTTTTTTAAAGAAGAAATTTAATCAATTTCATTAAAAAAGAAACATCAAGGATTACGCTTAGCATTGGCATTAGGATTAGCATACTTGAAATATTAAAAGAGCATATAGGGAAAACTGAAGGAACTTAAAGAGGATTGAAACAACTTAATGACCACTCACAATGGACGAGTACGAGTAATAGAAAATCAATAGCTCTAGGAAAGGGACAGAATTGACATGACATGGAAATATTTAAAACAACACTCGGAAATTTATGATTTGGAATTTTATTTGGTTCGGTTTGCCATTGCGGACATTTACATTTTCATGTGGTGTAACAGTCAATGTTTAATTTCACAAAAGATTAAGAGATAATGTCACAATTTTGACATAGTGAATATTTCCTCTATTTGAGGATTTTGCCAAACAAGAAATGTCATTTCTTTGGTAATTTGGGGAAAGTTACCCTTGCTCTAGAATTACTATCGTGGATTTGTATAATTTACTAAGTAACAGCTGCAAAAGCCTCCTCGACACAACGATATTGCCGTAAGTAAAACACATTCTATTCGGTATTTTATTTTTTCCACATTTCAAATTGCAAAAGTGTTGCTATCACAAAATCTTCCAATTTTAGGGCTCATGTTTACGGACGAGGTCTGCTTGGCAGGCCACCTCTCGAAACATTGATTGAACACTTGTGTACGCATATAAATCTACTAGAGTGTAATGCAAATTTTATCATACCTTTTTAAAAATGCTTGCCAGTAGCAAATTAGTTTTTCTTGACGCATTCTTTTTTAATTTGCTCTTTTTTATTTACAACTTCCGGCAGCGTCTTGTAAATTTTCTCGGAATGTCTCTTCATATCTCGTTCACTTATAAATTTTGGTGCTACTGTAATAACATTTCAACATTGAAGACACAAAATAATTTTGTATGAGCACTAGACTAAATTAATGGTAATAACAAATTATAGCCAAACATATGAATAAGGCTACTAAATTAATATTATTTAAGGTAAAATAACATACGTTTCTTAGTTCGCAGCTGTTTGCCAAGTTGCGCGGCAAAAACTTTTAATCCTGCATCAGACATTTCACTCAGTGTTTGTTGCTGGCCCACCTGCATTGACAGCAACTTACGCTTGGCTGCCCGTTCGTTGGCTCTGGAACACAATTACGTTGAAGTAAAGTGTAAAAAAAAACACTTTAACATCAAATTGTTTAATTTTTGAAGTTTCAAAAAATTACAATACCTCCGTGATCGAAATGTTTGATGCTTGTATAGAATGTGATTCAAGTAAGAACAGGAACGTCATATGCTTTTATTCGTCAAATGTCATTTAAAATATACAATTCACAAAGAAAACTTACTGGTTTATTTTATATGGTTTAACTGAGTCTTACTAAAAATCATATTACAAAATAAAATTCACCGAAATTAGCAGAATTGAATGTAAACGCATTATTATTTTGAGAAACAGATTACATTACGTAGAGCAATGTCAGCCTAGCGGGTAAGCTTGACGTCGTGTTCGAAGCCTAGATCTGCATACCTGGATTTGTATTTCTATGAGCTCAATACAACACTTGCTAATTTATGAAATTCTTTAGGAACCCGGCAATATTTAAAAATTTACCACGTAGTAAACATGAAAGGCTAGACAAAACGTCTAATCGCCTAATGAAGAATAATCGACGAAACATATGCACGGGAGTTAATGTACGACGTTATGTGACATTCTACTATAGATTAGCTTGTTTTGTTATGAATGCGACGTCTAATGGATATAATATTGATTAACTTATTAACACACCCAAATATAATACATACTATATCAATATCTAATAACTAAAATAATAAATGGTAAGAGTAAAAAAGTTCTACTGATATTCTTTATTCAAACAACTCACCAACTCTAGACATGGCATTTTGTACACATTGTTGATTTTTATATTGATTGATAGAATTATTGCAATTAGTGCATCCTCCTAGAACATTCAAACTAGGATTGCTATATATTCAATTAAAAAATCTAACTCTATTATATATTTTAATAGCTAATTCATTTAAATTGTTATTTGTATAAAAATTACCTCTGCAATACATGGTACATTTTCTTATACATGGGTTTGTATTACATTTGGGTGTGTGCACAATAATCATATTCATTCTAGGAGACGTATCTTTGGACCCGCTGGAAATAATAATAATAAAATAAATCGTCGCAAAGCTTTTAGTGGCCAACATACTTAAGTCTTAAATCGAAACTTCCTTAAAAGTTCTCGATAATATTTTAGCGTCTTCTTACATATTCTTGTAACATAGCAATAATTACCTAGTTTCGTTGATCATCTTCAAGCAGTTTTGGCGTTGATAGCATTTCTCAACAAAGTCTGGTCGATTCCTCTCCAGATACTCTCTTACTGAGAATGCTTGGGTTTGCCTTATCATGTCCTCTGTACTTGAAACTTCACTATCATTTGGAAGACTTTTCGATCTATATACTCTTGAGCAATGCGGGATTTCTCTCTCCAATTTAGCACACATTTCTTTTAGTGGCATATTTTCGTACTTCTTTTTAGGGACTTTAACTATTATATTCTGAAGGGGGCGGTTATTATTTTGGCAAATTGTCTCTTCACTAGCCAAACTATCCGATTGCACAATCAGGTTATATGCAAGACTTTTTTTTTTGTTTTTTTCAAATTGTTTATGCTTGCACTTATATCCTTTACAATAACAATGCTCTCGACGATGATGGCAGTTCATAGATGTGCTACTGGATTCCTCAACTTTTCTATGGTGAGATTTGCAGCGCTTTTGTTGATATTTTTCACATTCTTTTTTTATCTTATTTAATACATGACATGCTGTTGAATCAGTAGAAGTTGTTGGAAGGTCAGATGAAGTAGGATCTGGTAGTTCAATGTCCTTTTTAGAGTTTGATAATTGCACGGCCTTGTCAGTGAATTCTTTCTTTTGAGATTGTTTTTGGTTAATACTTTCAGTATTCTCAGTAGATCCTCTTTGGTCAGAACTTTCTTCAGTGTCTAATAAATAGTTTAGAACAGTAATAATTTCTTTAAAACACTTCTTTCTTTTACTTTTTGGAGTATCTTTTTTAGAATATCTCTTTGTAATATTTTTTATTAAATCAATCAAAGGATCATTGATTTCGTCAACATCGATTGCGTCACGACTAGTACTGGAACTCTTTGATTTAGTTTGGCATTCACTATCAGATATGGTTTTTGAACTATGAGACTCTTTACAACAGTTTTCTGATGTTTTTTCTGAAGAACTTGTAAAATTAATATCTTGAGTAACTTTTTGTGAATCAATCATATTTTCTGTCTTGGGATTAATTGCAGGACCATTGTCAAAATTTATTTTTAGTTTATCAAATGTTACATGGGATGCCTTCTCTAATCTACTGGTATCAGTATTTGAACGTAAAAGGGGTTTTAATGGATTGGGTTTATCCCCTTTTGGGTAAGTGTGATATTTATCTAGGATATGAATTTGTGTGCTTATTTCAGATTTTGATTCTTTATCTCTTGTTTTTAAAACCTCTTTACAGGCACAAGCAGCTGCCTGATTATAATATTCATCTAAAAGATTATTTTCTGTTGATTGTACTCCAACAGAACATTCTTGCAATAGACAAGTTGAATTGCCTGAAGTTGTAGGTTTATGTGTTAAAGTCTCCTTTGTTTTAAGTATTGGTCTTTTGTAAAGGTTACTTTGAGCGTTTACATCAGGCATTTCTCTATCACCTAAACTTACTTTCAAAGTCATGTTAGTACCTTCTATTGGAATAGAATAGTTTAGTTTTTTCTGTAAATCACATTGACTTCCAATATTATATACGGGCCCTATATCAATATCTGATTGTAATTGTTTATCAGCTTTCTTATATTCATTATCTGGACTCAATTTTGTTGATGAGTTTCTGTTTGAACCCTTTGATGAACTATCAGTGATCAGTTCAGTCATTTCATCAGAACTTGTCTTAATATTCTCCAACGAAACTTCTTTACATTGTTCACTAACTAGCTTTGCACAGTCTTTTTTGTCAATGATATTAATGTCAGAGAAGGATGGATCTGAGATTTTTGGATTAATACTGATATCAGTTTGTGTCCATCTTATAGCTTCATGAATTTTTTTAAATTTCAACATTGGTGATTTTGTTTTTCGATGAATTTCTATTTTCAGAGGATCTTGACCAGTTGATGTGGAAGACCCACATTTGTCACTATATTTTTGACGTAATATTACGTCTAAGTCCAAATTAGTTTGTGACGATTTTGAGCTTGAGCTTTCCTGAATATTTAAACTTTGTTTTTGGAAATTTTGTTCTCTACTAGTTGAGGTTTCCAACACTTTTTGGTTAATTCGAGAAACATCTTTATTAGAACACTGTGTATTAGTACAATGCGGTGATTGCTGTGACATATTTTCGGTCTTGTGATCAGTATCCAATTGGGAACATTTGTAAATTAGAATATTATCAGGTACTCCTTGTGCATTAGTCTCTTTACATAAACAAACATATTTTATTTCATTTTTTTTAATATTATTTTCAATGTTTGCTGAACTATTAGTTTGATCACTAGATTTATCACATTTATGTTTATAACGATGAAAGTCTGTGTGCATTTCATTACTTGATAGGATATTCACCTGTACAGAACTATCTGTTACACCAACTTTATGAATATGAAGTGGGCAACAACAGTAGTGGTTTTCATTCTTACTACTTCTAGTAGTTGTAGTACCTATATCTGCTTTTTTTGTATTTGTTTTCTGTTGACTTGATGTCCCAGAGGATAAAGTGAACACTGAATGGCTTTTTTGTTTTCTTATTGAATTGCTCAGATTCAAGTTTACATTATTAAGAGAGCCTCCTTCCAATTTGCTTGCATCACCAGAACCATCATCATAGTTATTTCTAACCAAGTCTTTCATTAAATCTTTGATCCTATTTTGAGATTTGACATCTTGGTTAATTTTTGTATCAGAGCCAACTAGTTTTTGTTTCAATAGTGCTTCTTTAATTTTTAAATGTTCCTTGTATGCTTGTTCTCTTTTAAGTGCTTTGATGTATTTTTGGTAAAGTTCTTCTGAAGATGTTTTGGCATCTTTAGATTGATCAGAATCTGTATTAGAAGCACCATGTGCCTTGGCTACTTCACATTTGATAGTTGATGGTAAATTAGGTGTACTTTGAGATGTTGATGGTAAATTAGAATTAAATTTTTCAACACGTAATATTGATTTCTTTGGTTTATATTCTCTACCATCTGAGGTAGAACTAGTACTGGTACCGCCTAAATCTAATTTTTTACTGTCAAAACTTAAACCAGAAAGAAAGTCTGAGCTATCATCATCTTTATATCTTGTTTTTAAAAGTCGTTGTACAATTTCTTTGATAAGTTTTTTCTTTATCTCATCATCTGCATTACCTCTCTTTAGTGTTATTTTTAATAGATCAATGCTTTTTTCTAAATCCTTTGAAAATGAATTTTTATCTTTACTTGAGTCTGTAGTGTGTCCAGTACTTGATTCGAGGCTAGATTTATTATCTTTTTTTGGGATAGATCTTTTGACCTCATTGTTATTGTTGATATGAGTTTGGTTGTAAATATGCCCCGGCATATATTCAAAACTTTCTGCAGCTGAAATCTGTTCCCCACTCTTATCCTTAACAATTGATTTATTGAGAACTTTTATTTCCTTGAAGAGCCTGGATTTGCTTTTAACTTTTCTTAATTTTTTCTTTCTATTTCTTTTTTTCAGAGTATTTAAATTAACACAAACTGGATTTTTTCTGTAGTCTTCATGATCCTGAGACTTTTTTTTAATTAAAGTTGTTTGTATTTCTTTGTCAAATTTAACCTCTGGTATTATATAAGTTCCAACAGATACTTTTTCAGGTGAGCTAGAAACATCTTTTGAGATTTTTTCAATATTAACTTCACCTTTTTTATCGACATTAAATGTTATATGTTTTGTTAAATTTAAATTTATTGCTTGTTTAGTTTCAGGAATTTGTGGTAAAGTCATTTCAATAAAATCTACTTCTTTACTAGAAATTTTTGTAGTATTTTTACTCAAATCTTTTTTGCTTTTTGATCTTTTGTTTACCCCATTATTTGGTTCCAATGGAGTGGAATGTGCAGTAGGAAGGCCTAAATTGCTTTGGTGCGTATCATTTATACAATATTGTTGTTGCAATGCTAATCTTTCAAGTGTACTAAGACTTGATGCTGACATTTTCTGATCACTTTCATTTCCATAACCAACATCAGCTAAAGAGTCCCATTCTAGTCTCCTTTGAGATGTTACACTGCTTGTTGGCGAATGTGGTTTATTCATAGATAAATCTAGGGTACCATCCACAGCTAGAAACATAATAATTTAATAAACATATTATCTGTAATAATTGTAATTGATACAAAGCTAACATAATTAAAATGAAAGGTTATGTAAAATCTATATTTATATTGTTTTATTTGCAATTACCGATAGAAAATATAAATGTATTTTTGAACTGAAGTGAATTATTACCTGACCCGGCAGGAAGATATCATATGCAAAAGGTAACTTACATTTGAGGGAATGTACATCCTCAGATTTTACTGATTCATTATCAGAATGTCTATATTCATGAACTTCTGTAATAATTGGTGGGGAGTCTGCATCGCTCACCTTCGCCTCTTTCTGTAATATGAAATATTATATCATTTTATTGATATTTTATACTGCTTTGTTTGAAAATGCTGCTTTCATTAATACCTGAAGCTTTGAGCTATTGTCTGGAACAGAGCATCTGATAGATATTTTACACAGCTCTGTTGATGATTCACTTCTTTTATCCCCAGAATCAGAGGAGTCACTCAAAGCCTTGATTTTCTTCCAAAATAAACTGCTAGGATCCCTTATTTCACTTTGGGCTGTTGATAACGAAAAAAACTGCTCTAAATCGCGTTTCTTGCCAAATTTTTTGTAGTACTCTAATATTAGGCTATTCACTGCTGAAGTTTTATGTTCTTCAGAATTAACATCATCATGATTGGTTCCATCATTACCAATTTGTTGATCATCCATCACTTCGTATTTCGTTAAACGTTGATACAATCAACTTATGTAGATCATAAATTCATCTCGAAGTCGCATTCATATTTAATTTATAAACGCAAGCAAAAAAGTACAAATAAATATTTCTGAATGTCAATAAACTAGTTTTAAAACAATGAAATTATAAATTTTAGAAGATTTACAATCTACAGTCAACAAACACTCTAAAATATTGAAAAAGTACAATCAATCAACAATCTCAAATCATAGACATTTTGTCAAATAGTTTGTAACAGTTATTTTAAATGAATACACATTCTAATGTGTTCTGTCTAACATTACAATCTATGCAGTGAGCACAACACAGATTAATTAAAGACTGTGTACAAATTAAATTGACGTTATAAGACAGTTGTCAACTGTAGTATTTTGAAGAAAATATTTTTTACTTTTTTAACTGAAAACAAACAGTTTCAGAATTGTTACATATCGATTACACCACCCCATAAGCTATACCTGCACGTCTCTGACACAACAGCATTATGTAAGGAAGCGGACAAGAGACATCGATAGTACCACACCAAAGGCCCGCCCTAGGCGCCTTAGTCAAGATACCTATATATGTATACACTAGTATTAAGGCATCTTGACTAAGACCCCAGTGCCGTCCTGCATCAGCCATCAACATGCCGCGAACAACCAGCAGGCAGTGATGCCAACTTGGGGGTTTTCCCCCCAAATTTAGGGGTAATCAAGATGTTTTATAGGCGGGTTCATTTATTAAAGGGGATTTTTAGGGGGTACTTTATTCAAGAATTTTTTCCTCTACAAACACACGATTCTATACAATCTATATTTAGCTTCGAACGCAATCAACAAACTAAACCATATATAAACTCCAAGCCTGGCTACAGCTTAAATATCGAAAAACAATAATTTCATGTGTCAAATTTGTTCCTTCTGACCGTATGATCAAATCATTTAACGTCAATATGTACGATTTCAAAAATATAAGCAACAGCAAAACGCAGCGTGATAACCAGGCCTTCGACGAAATATTAGAAGCTTATCCCATCATCATCATTTAATAATATTGTGTTAGAAGGAAAAAAGGAGACATTGAAGCTATTCGTTTTTTATTTTAATTCTGTCTCGTTTAACTGTAACAGAACGGATAAAAAAGAAAAGTACAAAAAGCTTTAAAAATAATGTATGAAAAGAAAATGACGAAAACGTAAAAAAAATTTCTGCCAGAACATTATTTCGTCATTGATTAACATATATAAATATGTAAAATGTACTCGCATAAATACAACAGCAATTTTTTACTACTTCAACGTATTATTAATTCATATTTGAAATTACCTCTCAAACCAAGTGTACAACAAAAACTTTAGGGGTTTTTGATCGACATTTAGGGGTATGGAAGTTGGTATTGTAGGAGTTGGTATCACTGCCAGCAGGGGCTGTGCCCGAAACGGGGGGGAACCCCCCCAAAAAGGGGGGGCGGTAAACCACAAGACCGACACGATACCTCATATTGCTGTTAAAATTCTCAAATATAGGTCTACCAGGATCTGATGGCAAAAGGGCTGCGCCAATACTGAAACGGTGAAAACTCGATACTTCCGCCCTAGATTATTGTGTGTAGAACCAAGAACAAGGTAATTTTGAAAATGTGGGTTTGAAATGCAGATGAAAACCCCAATTACTCTGTTCATGAGTTTATTAATAATTAAGAACTGAAAATGGTTCCAAATACTCACATCCATAAAAAGTTTCAACGCCGTATTTATACATCGATACCTTTTTGATCGGAACTACCTCATATTGGACTGTTAATAATTCTCAACCAAAGAAAAATTTTTTTTTTAAATTTTTTTTTTTTTTTTTTTTTTTGGGGTTTTTTTTTTTTTTTTTTTTTTTTTTTTTGGGGGGGAGTAGTAGTCACAAACTAGTAGTCTGTATTATAGTACAGATTATTGATCATGCACTTCATATTGGGCCGATTAATTGTCATATTTAATTAAGTTCCATAATTGCAATAGTTTCATTAAAGTAATTTAATATGTTGTTGCTGTTTCTATCTACTGGAAAAAAATTGTACATATTAGTAATATTTGTAAGATGTGTTTGCCGCATATATGACAAAATATATTCTAATTTTTAGTCGTTCGTCATATTCTATGGTTATGACACAAAATATGACAAAATAACTGTGGTTTAATGCTTATTCTGAGCTATCTTTGGTTTTAACTTTTAATAGCTTATCTGTACTCTGTAGTGATCGATAAACATAATAATATAATAATTAATTCTGAAATCCAATCTATAAAATAAAATTATTTTACAATTTAATATTTTTATTTAACTGCATTATTAAATAAACGTCATTAGTAACTAATTAATTTTGTCCCGAAATCAGAATGTCCCGTCAAACATCAAGGCTTGATGCTAAGAAAGTTGTAAGTACAGTTACTAATGTGTACAAAATAGTTATTTTAATGTTCCTGTAAGCTTATTAAATCTTTCTTTTAGAACTCCGAACTTTTAACCCTTACATACGGCGCCCTCGTCTCACAAATGTTAAAGGAAATGGATAATCCAGATGATGTTAATAAACAGTTAGAACGAATTGGTTATAATATGGGAGTACGTTTAATTGAAGATTTTTTAGCTAGGACTGGATCTAACAGGTGCATGGAAATGAGAGAGACAGCAGACAAAATACAACAGGCGTTTCGGTGAGTCTTAAAAGTGTTATTAGTTGTAGATAGATTTCAGATAAGTTAAAGTCGTAGTCACTTATTCTGGAGGATTTTGTATTCTTGTTAGAGCCAAAACACAATAATTAAGTATATTAACTCCAATAATGTATTATAATTTTCAGACTTTACCTTAACATGCAGCCAACAGTAACAAGCTGGAGTAGTTCTGGGGATGAATTTTCTTTAGTCTGGGACCAATGCCCACTGAGTGAATGGGTTGAGATGCCAAATAATGGTCTTAAATACTGTGCTCTTATTCCTGGGGCTATTAGAGGTGCATTGCAAATGGTTCAGCTTGATGTTCAATGCTGGTTTATACAGGTAACCTAATGGTGTAAACATTGAAATGGTTAAATAAGGTTAGTTAGTCAAAACATGTTAGACATTTTGTGTCAATTCATAATAAAACATAAAGTTTGTGAGGTTTTAGGAAGTAACTACTCTCACCAGTAAAAAGCCAGTAATTTCTGACTGACATGGGCCGTAGTAATGTCTTCCTCTTTCCATGAATAAAGCTAGGCAGGCTTCAAGTGTATTGTATAAATAGTAATGATCACATATAATTGAAGAACTTACAAATATGGTTGGCACAAGAACTAAACAACAACATAGTAATTTAATTAAGACTTCATATATTTTATTGAAGTGCTAACACAGTTATGTCAACTTATTCCAGTTTAATCAATAGGCAGGTAGGTATTTAAAATGTTAGCAATACCTTTGATATGTTCCAGGATCAGTTAAAAGGAGATGCAGTGACTGAGCTCCGAGTAAAATATATCAAAAGACTGGAAGATGCTGTACCAGCTGGAGAAGATTAGTTATTATTATTTAAGTTATAAACTTGTATTATATTGAATTACTTTGTTATTGGTAACATTATATTTTATGCTATTCATTGTTTTACTTAAAGGAACTAGCACATTTAAGGACTTACTACATACTTAAAGTCAGTATATTCTGTTAGTATTATCAGATATTTAAGTCCAATAATATACATTTATTTTAAGATAGAGTTTAGAAATCATTGTTTGTTTTTTTGCTGTTGTTTCCTATAGTGTAAAGATTTGTTTAATAACAATTAGGTTTTATAATATTAATTAAAAAATAATAATATCATCTACTCTCAGAATCTTTAAATAAAACAAAGCAAGATGTGTATGATGTGATGTAATAATCTAGCAGTAAGTAAAAAAAGATTTTCTATTCTGTCTCTCAAGACTGTCAAACAAATCTAATATATAAAATTCTCGTGTCACAGTTTTCGTTGCCATACTCCTCCAAAACGGCTCGACCGATTCTCATGAAATTTTGTGTGCATATTGGGTATGTCTGAGAATCGGACAACATCTATTTTTCATCCCCCTAAATGTTAAGGGTAGTCCACCCCTAAATATATTTTTTTTATTTTTAGATATTTTTTTCTGTTTTTATTTTTTTATGATACAGCATTAAAAATACATACAAACCCCTAACTTTCACCCCTCTACGATCAACCCCTATTTTTTTATTATAAATGATATATATGATTATATGGCAAAACGACGTTTGCCCGGTCAGCTAGTTAATTTTATAAAACCTTTAGAAAATTGCGTTACTGAAGTGATAAGCTTGTGTTTTGTTTTCATAATTAAAAATATGTATATATAACGATATAAAATTTTTAAATGACAATTTTATTGTTAAGGTTCCACAATCTTACATTTCAATTATCATGTACCTTTGTGACTATCTGCCATAGCACAACATTTACATACTCGTACATCCAAAATACCTTGACCCTGCAGATTGAGGTTTTCTAAGTAAAGAGAACTGTCACCGAAAGTTATAAAATAAATTTTTCAATTTATTTCTGCCCTTCTGGTGGTGGATAATGAGGGTCAACTATATGGTCAATACTCGGATTGCGACGGGTATCTACGGTGAGATTTAACTTTATTTAAAAGATTAGATAATACAACATAACTAATTATTATACATACCCGATTTAGGTAATATGATTTTAAATATCTACTAGGTGCCCCAAGTAGAAAACATTATTCCTCGATGGTAACATATCGTACGTTATAAAATAAATTATAGATAATATTTTTTAAGTAAATTAAATTCAAGTAAATGCAGTATAGGGAAATATTTGATGAATGCTTCGATAACGGAATGAATATTGAATGTATCTCTTGCTTATGTCTTACCAATTATGTACTTAATTTTTATGCTTACTCCATTCTATGTGAGAATCGATATCCGATTTAATGAAAAAAAAAATCATACTTTTTTCAACTCAAAACCTGTAGGCTAAAAGCGCAAAATCTCGAGTTATAAGTGAAACAAGCATAATTATCTTAAATAAAATAAATAGCAAATTACCTATAGAAATATGTGTACTACGACAAAGATGGTGTGAGATCGGAGACAGCATTTTATAGTGTAAACCTTAAGGAATGATCTTGGAAAACTACACCACGCCCGAAACGGTAGCCTAGGTAGGAACCTAAACGCCACGTGTTACGTAAAAACCCGATTATTAAAAATAATGAACAGTCAGAAACCCGAAAACAAAATTGAAGTAGGTACCATTAGGTAGTAACGATACTTTACTATATATCTAGATGCATAGTTACACAAAATCCATACCAGCAGACTATGCAAATATTAGGTACCTACCTAAGACTATAGGTAGATACCTACATAATGATAATTTAAGTAGGTATAAAATATTAAAATCATTACATTTTTTTTACCGTATTTCATTTATGATGTTTATAATGTTAAGCGCAATTTATACCCCCTAATGCTCTGAGACGTCTTCTCAATTTTCTTCCTATCCGCAGTAGGTATAACTATGTTAGCGCAATATCTTTTGCTACCTATTCTCGATTACGCGGACTCATGAACTTCTGATATCAATGATCAGGTGCTTGATAAGATCGATCGCCTGCAGAATATCTGCTTTTGGTTTTAGAAAATATATTCATGTGCCTAAATTCCGCACGCTTAGGCGTTACGCTCATCCTTCATCTTCTATATTCAATCCTACAAATCCCAGACCTCCACCTCCCACTTATCTTAAAAATTAATTTAGATTCTTAGGTCTTCATATTATGTTACGCTCATCTGATAGATGCATTTATAAATTCCATCTCACAGCTTATACTTGTTATTTAAATCGTTTAGGATCTCCGCCATAAAGTTGAGGAATCCGATTCCATACGATTGGCTACCTCTCTATAAACGTCATTTAAAAATCTTCTACATAAACTTCTCTTAACCATATAGATACGACTATACTGCTCAATCGTAACTTTTGTACCTAATTCATGTTTTTACGTACCTACTTATTCTTTTGTATTGCATCTTGATTTGTGATTCATGAAGCTTAAGATTAGCTTTTACCTAGTTATTTTATTATTTTAGATTTTACTTTTGTAATTGTGTAATTTTTCATTACTTGTAATTTTTTTTGTTAATTTACTTATGCACTTCGTGCACTTTACCCTTAGTATTTTTTTTTCTTACTAGGGTTGCCTGGAAGAGGTCTCTTGCTAGCGATAAGGCCGCCCGTTCCATCCCTAATAATTTATGTTACTTGTTTTTATTTGCAATGTAACGAAGTTGTAATAAATTAAAATCATTATAATATAATAACATGAACTTATCTAATGTTATTTTCTTAGAACTTTCTTAGGTGTTCAGCCTAGAGTTTCAAATCAGTAACTCAAAAATTTGGGGTGGACGTAAACCATAGGTACCTACTGGTTTTTGGTAACGGCCTCTCTTATATTCTATGACTAGCCGTTTCGCGCCCGCTTTGCTGGACGAATTAAAATAAATTTTATGTTTCATTATTTTATTTTTTTTCATATTTTTATTATTCTTCTTTTTAACTTCCCGCTAAGAAAATTGAAATATTTCGAAAATCGAGTTTTTAACAGATGTTGACGTTTAGAGGTTCTAGGAAGCCTCCCCGAATGTTTCCGCGGTGAAGTCCGTATGGATAAATTTTCATAAAAGTAAAACAGCAATAAAAAAATGAAGGAACGTTGGAATTTAATAAATAAATAGCCATAAACCATCTAGGAAAAATTTCGCAAAAATAGTATATAAAATAGTTTCATGTCGATACGATCAGTGGTTTAGGCGTGAAGGAGCCTCAAACGAAGACCATTTTTCTTTTATATATATAGATTGCCGTTCAATGTTCAAAGCATCAATCGGCCGTTCTGCTAAAAAAATAATTTTGAGTCCCAGTATTATGTAGGTACTAGGTAGGTATTGTTCTAAACTTAAAATGTTTAGAACAGGTGTTTTACTAGCTATAATTAGTTCAAATGAAAACGTATTTTATTAATTACCAGGAAAACAAATAAATAGGTATTAGAATTGTACGGTGCCATTTATCTAGGTGAATTCTCAGACTTGATATAAGGTAAAACCTACTAAAATTTCCTATTATAACGTAGCCCTTTTAATCTAACAACATCCCATCAGGGTCTTCTAAACTAAAGAACACTATATAATATGTATTATGTACTTAGATTGTAAATTCTCTTATGATTCACCAGGATAGCGAGAGTCAAAGAGAATTACATAGCGTATATTTTACATCCACAAGACCCTTAAGACACATAGGAATTAGAGGCCTAGATTGCTCTCAAAGTAGACGCACTCTGTGAAAGTATACTTGTCTATTTTATTCAATATAAGTCTCTGTTACAAGGTAATAAAGTATGAAATTGTATATTATAAAATATTTAAGAGTAGGATATCGTGAAGTGACGCTCTCAACGTTCCCTCGTAACGAAGTCATTGTCTCGGTATGTTTATATTCGTTAGTGCTCTATATACAGTTGATTTTTTTCTTGTGCATATATTACAACCTAGACGTAGACGTACCTATATACTTGTAGGCTTTTTTAATAGGGATGACCGTCGCAAGGGAGAAATTTTTATTAATATTGCAAAAAGTATTCTAACTAAACTGGGTTCGAGATAATATCGTATTGTATGGTCACTAAATATACAAAAAAAACCATTGCTGGCTCTTGTTGACAGCATGTAGATACGATAGTCAGTATTAGCTAGTGCTATTACTAAGATAGTTTCGCTTATTATTTCGTGCGTTTACGATTCACAAAAATGGACATAGTAATTATATTAGTAAATATTAAATATTAGATTAGTTATTGGATTACGTGACAATCATATAAAAAAACTTTTATAACGGCAACAAAGGCGAATTTATTTGGTAGGGTAATATTACAGACTGTCTCTCGCAGACACTCACTGTGTAAAGCACTCGACACTTTGAATCATGTTGTAAATAATAATACCACAAGACTTTAAATTAAAACGAATATTTCATAAGATGCAATATTTGTCTGTATTGACACAGTATATATATTATGTATATAATAAGACTTATAATTCTATTCAATATTTAGTACAGTTAAAATTATTAATAAATTCATTCCAACGGCGGTTAAACTTTTTTATAGCGATCTTTTTGGCATCAACATCTAAGACGCTATATTTTAAAGAGTTTAAAGCAAGCTGTTTTAGTAGCCTTAGATCTGCTAGACGGCTAGCCACGCCAACGAATGTCACGTAGAAGTCGTCAGACAATGGATCCGCTTCCCAGACTCCTGGGTCATCACTAGACAACACTACTGGAAGTCCTTGTGCTATAAACGTACTCAAAGGATGATTTCTCACATCCCGAACAAGCCCTAACACTGCATTTGATATCACATTCACTTCTATACCAATATCATTTTCCATCACCAGCTTCATCACTGCCGGATGCTTCGTTAAGGCGTATGCGTGTCCAATTCTCTTTGCTCCAAGCAACACGGCATCAACCAAATTCTGATCTACTAATGTACCATACCAATTTGTTTCACCCGCGTGGAAAAAATAATTTAAATCGTTTTCGGCCGACTCTAACTGTGGAATAAATTCAACTAACGGGCTTCCTGTCGCTTCTTGGCCTACTAAGTCGAAACCAGCAAAGAATTCAGGCATATTTGCCTTGATTTTGTATGCTAACTTTAAATACTCATCTAATTTATAAATGTCTATATTCCTCGGAGGCGCATAAATAAGTTTGGCACCAATAAAATCGGGGTAGTCCTTCATAAAACGTTTATATGATTTTTGATAAGTTTTCGCTGTTATTAACGGGTCATAGACTGTACCGTCTAATTCATACAAATTCAAAAGGACGCTTCGCACTTCCACGTACATTATGTTATCGTTCCTAAACTTCTTTAATACGTCGTAAAAGTATTGCTCCCACACAGGTCTGTAGGACATCATTGAGGCGACCCTTTTGAAATACCCAGTGAATGCGTCCCACACCTCTTTGATGCTCGGATAAATTACATCGGGGTCGTGTACACATATTGTGAAATATTTCGATAAATTCTCATCAAACATTGTGATATTTCCTGAGGATTCCCTCGCTTCTTTCATCAATTGCCAGTTGCAGTCGGTGTTCGGCGGTTTGTCGGCGAATTTTAAATTCACATCGGACTCTCCAAAACAAACAAAAAGGTTATCCATATAAGTGATATTTAGGACATAATCTGGGTCTAGTATTCCCATGTCGTGAATGTGTAATGCGGCTCCTTTGGGCATGTCCCGTATTATTCTATAGACTTTTGAATTCCGTATTTTGTCTTTGTATGAGAAGAAATGTCGTGAAAAATTATAATATTGGGGGTTATCTAACCCATAGTCGACCTCGTCGAACTTGTGTCGCATTAAGCAGTTGTTTACGGCTGATTCCTTATCGGTAAGAGTTATTTTTCCTCCTATCATTTGGATTGACTCGTCATATAATATTTTTGCTCGTTTGAATTGATAGTCTGATGCAAGGCAAATGTGGAACAATGAAGTAACTAATAAAAACCACATGGTTAGGACTCAGTGTTGCTCAGTTGAATGTTCACCGGATACTGATATCATTGGGAGTTCGGACAATGCATGTTTCAAATATGATAAGCAGTTTCGGAAGTTATTTATCTGCAAAAAACATTTTTGTTGTGTGACCATGTTATGTAGTATCTATTATGAAGGGTTGTATTATGCGTGTGCCCAGCCGTTTGTAAAAAAAAAGATAAAAACCCGGTCCCTTTTTTATTTAAGTACTTTGATTAACCTAGTCTTTAGAAAATCGTTAGATGTAGTTTTGGGTTTTGACTCCATTCATAAAAGCAATGAAAATGCTAGGTTGTTTATAAATTAATTCTAAAATTAAAAGTGTTGCATTTTTATTTACTTAGTAAACAGATAATATTTATTCAAATTTTAAGTTGAGTCAAGAACTGCGTCGGATCTAAATTACCTTTTAAATAACAATTTCGACTCGTTAGTTCGCCATTTAAAAATCCTTTATTTCTCGTTAAAAGAACCAGCATTTTGCATTCTATGTGGCAAAAGCTAATTTACTGCAGCTCCAGTAAAACGACTAAATTTAAACAACTTTAAGTACCCACGTAATTAAAAATGAAAAAAAGATCTTTTTAAGAGCAGCCAAAACGATCTCGCATAATGCCCGCAATTTCTATAGCCGTTTTAAACGATGAAATTTACTAAAACTCACTCGGTACTGGTGTAAATTACAGCTAGCGGCGTCTAAAAGGGGTTTCGTTTTCAAAGCAACGCTATAAAGAAACTAAAAAATAAATCTGAAAAGAAATAAAGGCCGTCTCATCCGCCATGCTGATTTTATGCAACGAAAGGGTTGGGGAAGGCTTAAGTGCCACTTTAGCATAGAACCGCCCCGCTGTACGCATTTATAAAAAGTAAAAATATGGCTGCGACCTGCAACTCATATATGATATTGGGATGTTTCGATGTGAACTCGCACCTAAACTTTAATCTCCAAATGACTCCGGGCGACACCCCTTTCACGTGAACAAGGGAACATTTGGTCTCATTTGAAAGATACGAATTCTCTAATGCATATGACACTTTTCGCAGTCTATTTAAAATAAATTTTACCTACTGAATAGAATGAGTATTCCAGAACGCTTTTTATTATGAGTGTTATTTATGTGTGCTTAATATTAGTCGCAATTGCGCCTATAGTAATTAATATAATATGTTTTTAAATTGTTACGTTTTGGTACCTACTTATACTGACAAGCATAAATAAAAGAAGGGACCACAAGAAAACAGTTTTGCTACAACTACACACAACAATACACCGGTAGTCCAAAAGTAAAACTTGGATTGCGGTCAAGGGCGGATCAGCTTTGGCCCAGGAGGGGTCACATAGTCGTGGTCATGTCAAGAATTAAATTTAATTTTGATAACAATAGATACAAGTAAAAAGTAGGTATTTTATTAATGTACGTAAGTATTGCACTTAAAAATATTTATTCTTTGAACTTTGAAAACTTTTAAAACTTAACACATTATATTGTGTACATACAGGTTGGTCAACTAGTGACGTCAATATTTTTTTAGATTCCTTATCCCTGGGCATACGAAAATACCCCATGTATGTTCCGCGATTTTTGTAGTTTTCGAGTTATAATTTTTTTGTGTTTTCTGCCAGCGAGGTTTCAAAAATTCTATCTTTTTTTTTGTAGGTATTTTGCAGTTTTTTTCTTAAATATTGTCTTAAATGTTGTTCAAATAAAAAAAAATCTCAGCTTCCTAAAATTAGTTAAAGCTACTCAAAAAATGTTTTAAAGTTAGAAATTTAGTTTTTAGCTGGATGTGCCCAAACATTCGACTTCAATTTAAAATACAAATAGAAGTTTCCATAGCTTCCATAGCATAGGTTCTAATACCAAAATCATAGAAAAAATGGTACTTAATTGGTATTTTTTTGTTGTAATCGTGGAATGGTGGATAGGCTAAAATCATTGAAGCATTAAAAATGTTTTTTTTCGACTTTTATTATTCTTATGGTAAATAAAACTGTATATGTGATTTTAATTAATTTTAATACCCGTACAAAAAGGAGCTTTCCTTCGGGTAAACCAGCTCTTTGAAAAATCCCCAAACGTTGTGGTTATGTATTCGAGTTGGAGGAAGGAGTTTTGAAAATTTATTATAATAAATAGTATTTTTCAGTAAATTGTGTTTTTTTATTTGTTATTAAAAAAAAGGTAATTTCACAACTAGCAATAATCATTTCGAATAACATTTTGAATTTTGAGTGGTAAGACCAAAATATTGTAAGAATTACACGAGCTACTTTTTTACGGGTATTAAAATTAGTAAAAAATATCGTAAAGTTTCATTGCCATAAGAAAAATTTAAAAAAAAAACAGTTTTAATGCTTCAATGATTTTTTGCCTATCTATATTAAAAGCGATTACAGCTACATTATTTTAGGGTATTAAAATTATCACTACGGAATGGAATATTTATATTACATAACCGTGGTGAATGATTTGTCATAACAGCTAGAGGTATGTCGAGGGGTATTACGCTAAACTCCGCAAAAGTGAAGAGATTACGACAAAGGATTCCATCAAACAAAATAGAAACAGAAAATAATATATTTAATAACTAAATAATTTTTCTGTAACGTTTTTCCCGAAACGCGTTATTACGTTATTTACGTCAACGGGTACCAGTCCGGTAGGCGATCGTCAACCATTAAGATCTTAGCCACGATTTAATTCTGCGCAACGTAGAGAAAGACCTTTCTGCTGTCGCTTCGCTGACAGGGTATCAATTTTCTTATATTAGGATACATATTGATGTCACAATTTAAAATAAGACTATGTTATGTTATGTTGAAGTTTAGTCGTTCCGATTCCGATTGAGGTAAGGTCTAGCTAGACGTTTCATAGTCGACAAGCGCGCGCAAGTGTGGCGCGGAAATTTCAAATTCGATGCGTTCGTTCCCAAACGTTTGTCATCATACAAAGTTATTATATTATATTAAATTAATTAAATATTGAAGGTATGTAACATATAATCTGTATGGTGGCAAATTTATATATAAAATCATTATGTTCAATTAGTGGTCTACCTAAGTCCTGCTCAGGGGGGTCATGACCCCCATGACCCCCTGGATCCGCCGTTGATTGCGGTATTAGTTTTAACAGTATGAAACTATAACATTATATCAAAACTACTTTGCACGAAGGTCTTGTTATATATTTAATCGACATTTGCAGTTTTGTATTATATTATATATTTATTTTTCTACATTTTCTTCGACAAATCTTGGCCAGACTTAAGAGAAGTTTAACTCATAAGTGACTTACATAAATATATTTAAGGTATGTGTTAAATATTTAATAATGAATAAGATTATTTAAAGCATTAAATATAATTAACTATTATTACAACTGATTCAAATCACACAGGAGATGAATTGTATTTTTGTTTGTATGTAGGTTATTTTCTTTGTTTTAATCGTAATTCATTAATTATAAGGTACCTACATATACATTACATTACGCGCGGTACATAAATTATTTGGATAATATCGAATTAGTCCGTACTTAGGAAAGCTAAATTACCTCCAAAAGCTTGTTCTCAAAAGACTACTTCACTCCCCACCCATAACTATATAACCAATTCCCACATGATACTCTCTCACCTCTGGCGGGCTCCCCAGTACCATCTTCACTTTTACAACCAGAGCGAATCTTACACCAATCCCTTCAGGGCTATCTTTGGTTGCGTAGAGATGTGGGGTACTCTATCTTCTACCGCATTTACCATGGAGAGTGTTCAGAGGAGTTTTCATTAATACCTGCAGCTGAGTTTCATCATATCAGCAAATACAAATTCACCCTTACCTCGACTCCAGTTCACAATGACGTTTCTCAAGGCAGTTTCCGCCACACCACTATTGGAACCAGCTCCCACTAAGTATTCCAACCAATTCGACTTAGGGTCCTTCAAGAAAAGAGGTACCAATTTTTAAAAGGCCGCAACCACTCCAGCCCTCTGCATGAGAGTGTCCATGGGCGGCGGTATCACTTAACATCAGTGAGCCTCCTGCCCGTTCCCCCTTCTATAAAAAAAAAAAAAACTTTTATTCTTTGTATTATTGATTATATGGTGCGATTTAAATACATATTTTACTATCTAGAATTATGGATATGTTAGATACCGTTTACGTTTTCTGTGTTTGGACATATGTGATACAAACACAATTATTAAGCTACTAATCCATATCTATAGACTATAGAATTATAAACCTTCAAAGGCGACTGTGAGAGAAGAGTCAATTTTGTTTTCTTTTAAATTTAAATAGCCTTTCAGCCAAATAATGTTTTCTCCTTATTACTTTTTTTTTTTTTTTTTTTTTACTCTTGTTTTGAAACATGGATAAGTGAATGTTGACTTCTGTCAATAAATAAATGAGGCTATTGAACATGACGTATTCGCCACACTCGTGTCAATATTTAAAAATAAACATAATAAAGCGTTATTTAACTAAAAGAGGTTTCAAAATAAGGTTTACGTTACACGTTTTAAATAAGGCAAAGCCCTTTCACTAATTGAAAAAGCTAGTTTCTTAATGATTAATATTTAATATGTTTTATTTGGTGTATTTTTCTTACGTTCAAATCTTCAGCATACCTACCCACTAGAGATATTAAAATTAACATTGTAATGTGTAATGTTAATTTATAATCTATTTATTGCGTTTAATAAGGTTTTTTTAGAACCTTAGCTACTTTTCGAGATACATTTTGTAAACTAGTGTCGAAACCAAAAACAATATTATTACTGTGCAATAATATTATTAAAATCATGTGTAGCCGAATAGAAATAAAGTGATGCAAAACTAGTTTTCGTTTGTGGTATCTTATTTGAAGAAGGTTTGTTAAAAGTGACAAGGCCTGCTGTCATGTCCTTTCCAATTTAAGAATGTCACAAAAATTTAGTAGATACCAAATCAACAAATAATGTTTCAAATTGTTTACTTTTAAAGCATTTTTTTAAAGAATAAGCATATATTTTAACATGATCTTTACTATTTATCTACCTTTTCAAATGATGTATTTATCCTCCATAAATAATAATGTGATGACTCAAACCGTTAATCATCAATAAGTTAATTTTATTACAGTATTCAAACGTCCGAGCTAATGGTGTACTAGTTGTTTTGTGAACGAACTAGTTGCACGTCGATAAGCCAAATCAAATAGTAAACTTAACACAAACGTTCCGTATCAGTGGCATATTTTACCAAACTTTAAAAAAATATATCAAAGTTATATCTACAAGTAGGACGTAATGATTACATATCTTGAAATCGAATTACGAAGACAATAGATTATGTAAGTGATATGCTGACATTAACATATTTTTTATCCCCGACGGTGCACCTTTGTAGTGACAACCTTGCACTAGATAAATGTTGTTAAAAAGTGAACGTAATTGGACAAACATTAGTTTATTTATAACAATGTGTGCTTTAATAGTTATTTTCTTGGTTGCCGTACTGGTGACGGTGGAGTCACACGATGAATACGAAAGTGCGTTATTTCAAAGGACACAATTGTTGGAAAGAGGGTTAAATATGATGCTTGGAAATGATTTAGAATTAAGTGATGCTGAAGAACAGGTAAATGAATATATCATGGAGTTAAAAAGAGACGAAGTCGACTTTGGTTTTTCGCACCCACAACATTTCAATTATTCGAAACATTTTTTTGATTATAAGGATGAAGTGCAGCACACACAGCTATTTAAAATTATAAAACAAATGCCGAAAGGTGCACTGCTTCATGCACACGATACAGGTATGCTAAGCCCCGAGTACGTCATGACACTGACTTATTTAGAAAATCTATACGTTTGCTTTGAAGAGGAGACGGTAAAGTTTTTATTTGCAAGGGAGTTACCGACATCAGATTGTTCAACGCAATGGCAGTTAATGAGAGATGCCAGATATTCTTCTGGGAATGTTGAAAAATTCGATGAGAATCTAAAAAAGTATTTTACTCTCGTCATTGATGATCACAGTGATATATATACGGATATAAACATTGTCTGGAAACAATTTCAAGATTACTTTATACGCACCACCGATTTGTTTACATATGAACCTGTGTGGGAGCAATATTTCTACGATACATTAAAAGCTCTAAGAGAAGACAATGTCATGTATCTTGAAATTAGAAGTGTTCTACCTGGTCTCTATGATTTGGACGGCAACGTGTATGATGAAATGGAAACACTTGCGTCGTACAAGAGGGTTATAGACAGATTTTCCAAAGACTACCCTGATTTTTTCGGTGCAAAGATAATATTTGCTCCTTTACGATCAGTTCAACCGGAAACTGTTAAAGAATATTTGCAGAAAGCTAAAATAATGAAGAGAGAGTACGCAGGTATTTTTGCCGGATTCGACTTAGTGGGGCAGGAGGATTTAGGGAGGCCAACAAAAGATTTTCTTAAAGAATTGATTACTGAAGCAGAGGATATTGACTTTTTCTTTCACGCAGGAGAAACTAATTGGTACGGAACGAGTTCAGATGAGAATTTAGTAGATGCTATAGTGCTCAACGCTCGCCGTATAGGGCACGCATTTGCTTTGATCAAACATCCGGTTCTGTTAGAGGAAGTTAAAAAAAGGAACATAGCTATAGAAGCTAACGTGATCTCTAATGTAGTCTTAAAGTTGGTCGAAGATATGAGAAATCACCCGTTGGCTAGTTTTATTGCTCAAGGTTTGCCTGTGGTGTTAGCTAGTGATGACCCTGGGATATGGGGAGCTGATCCATTGTCTCTGGATTTCTTCGTAACTTTTGTAGGAGTGGCCAGTCGACATGCAGATCTTCGACTTCTTAAAAAGTTAGCTTTGAATTCTCTTTATTATAGCACATACTCTAATAAAGATAAAATTGTACACGAGTTTGATATCCGATGGGCTAGATTTATTCACAACATTCAGACAAATCATTTGTGAGAGTAAGTAGGTACAATTAAAAACTTTATTGAGATTGTAAAACTAAATAATAAAGTAAATAATGAGAAACATTATTACTTTAATTCTATTCTGATAAAATTGAAATACAATACAAATAATTGAGATTGCTTAGGTAGGCTTATTAATTGAATTAAATTGTTCTACTTTTTACTAGCTAATTATTAAAATATAGATAAATATTTTTTGATATTGCCATTATAATCTTACAATACTATTTATATTATGCGATAAAATAAGCTGATAACAGTTGCGATGGGTTTTCGAAAGATTATAATGTTTTTATTGATTAACCAAATTTAAACTTTTTTGACAAAAAGTTAAAAAGTCTCCCCGCGTTTAATATAAAACAGCCATCATCAACATCATGTTCTAGTAATACGAATCATACAAAAAAAAGATTTTTCTTTATCTTTTCATTCATTTCTAAAAAAATGTTTTATATTTTAACGTTTCACTATCTGAAAAAAAACATGTTTGTTAATGGTACTAAATTTATCTGATATATGTATTTATATTAACTTAATAGTAAACACAAATACTGGTACTATGTAAACCCTAAACCAAATAAATATGTCCCGTTATTATTTGTAGTTTTACTTTTAAGTCTATAAGTCAGAAACTATAGATTTTCTTTAATTCTGAATTCATGAAATTAAACATTTTCGTCTACTTTACTTAAACGATTCCATAATATTTAAGATAAGGAAGTCAAGATCCCATTTTTTTAATAATTAGAAAGTAATATTTAATAACCTTTAATCTAATCTTATATATCTAGTATTATTCGAGCCTCAACTATATTATATTACGGATTTTAGGATTTTATTAATTATTATATTTTATATACAATATTAGGTAGTTATTTTAATTTACATAAACATCTTACAAAAAGGAATTAATAATTATTGTAATGGTTCATTTCAGTCTAATATCTATTGTTTAAGCAAAATATGTGGCATCAAGCAGTTTTCATTATAATTATTTAGACTACGCGCCATTTCTAAAGTCAATGACATATTCAAATCTCTAGTCTCTACTAATCTTTGGCAGGTTTGGCGCCATTCTTATGTTTTATCTTTAAAAAATAATATTTATTATTCTGTATTTAATTATCATATTGACCTTTACTAATTATTAGGTTCAATCCCAAATACTAACGAGATAAAGTAAAGAGTTTTATTAAAGCAGTTTTTTAAAATGATAAGTGAACTCGCGTATACCAAAGACAATGTTAAAATCAAGTGGATAATGAAACTGTGACTTTATTACTACTGTGACGTATTAAATATTAATCCACTCGACTGATGCTATTAAAACCCTTCGTTTATAAAAATTTGTTACACTTATTTTAATTACCCTTATTGTGTGAAAGTTACATAAACTACTATCCTAACCTACTATATACCTAATGATACATGGCAGTTCTTCCCTTTCTTGTAACTTTAATCATTGTTTTTTTTTCATTTAACGAAGTAGTTACCTAATCTATGATAATTATACGAAGAATTAATTTTATGACATTATATAACAGCAATAGAATAATTACTTTAAAGCATTAGCAGTGTAATTCAATTGAATTTGATTTACGTAGCGGTGGGTGCACGTGAAACAAAAAAATAACCATATATATAAGTAGTTAGCCTATATACGTTGTGAAACATACAGGCCTAGAAAACCTTTTATATTGAACAATTAGAGCCCTAAAACAGTAGAAGTCAAAACAACAATGTTTTATCCTTCCTCTTGCTATTGAAATAGGACGTCAGACTATTTTATTCTATACCTATGTATAGATTAGGATGGAGACATGTTGACAGTTTTAATTCCATTACACGCTTCAAATATTGACATACGCACGCACCGGTGATCTTCAAAGATACGCTGTGACAAATTATAGTAAAAATTAATTGTGGTTGACGTTTCGGCGCCTTCACTAATTGCTGAATCTAACCAGTATAACCGACGCAACATTAACACGAAATAGGTTTTGTATGTTTGTTATGACTCTAAAAGTTGATTGCATCTGTTTTTAAGTGATCTACGCTACAGTAGTTCAGGTTTTTTGACATCCACAAAAGTCACCCATGTTAGTGTGTGTCCATATTTACAAATGTAGTTTTTCATAATACGATAAGTTCAGTTTTAGACAGCTTTCCTATTTGAATACACAAATTGGAACAAAACATGTTCAATGTTCGTGTTTCCGTTTAGCTCCAGATACGCAGGCGGATATTCGATTTGTTATAGATATTGTATATTTTGCCACAGAAAACCTATTAGCTATTCGCTTTTAGCCGTTTCTCACTACATAATATAAAGCGCGTAAGCGTTCAAAGAAACCTTTGAACGAAAGTACCGAAATGAAAACCCTGCGTAAAGCCAGGACCGACAGTAGAATGTAATTAAATGAAGATACTCCAAAGTGTGACCAATTATGGGAAGACCTCTTAATTATATTCCACAACTTTAGATGCCGTCAAATGCCTAAGGAAGTCCGTGACTAATTCATGTATTTTATTACCGTGAAAAGGAGGGTGTTACAAGTTGCGTTTTATGCACATACAAAAATAACAGATTTCACGTTTTTTTGTTAGAAAAGAAATCGGTTCGATGATAGTTTATTATTTGATGTTTTCTTGAATACAAGAGATAGGTTTCACTGGGTTCAATCCAAGACCTAAACGTTCCCTAAACCACGAAGTGGTAATAGGTACCTATCGTTACTGTAGAATGATAACCTCGTATGTCAAAAAACCATTTATTTTATATTCTTAGAATCTTATGTCATTTAACTGGTATAATCATGAAGTATGGACTTATTTATGTTATTAATAAATAAGTCCTTTTAACCATCGAAATTTATGGACAAAAACACAATAATATTTGAACGATCATTGGCGAAATAATTTTTTTTTTAGTTTCCTGTAATGTTGGACATACGAGGTCATCATTCAACAGCGACGCTATGCTGTTCAGATTTCACTTGAACATTGACCTACCTAGGGCTTAGGTATCCGTAGGGATGTTACGTTCTTAGGCCTCACCCTCGCATATATTTCGTTATCAAAATATTATATAATATTTAGTTATCTAGTGCAGCATGCTAATACATACACTCCATATACTATACAGATACTCCTGACATATATAACATATACATTAAAATACACAGTCCACTGGCTGGCAAGCCGTTCCTAGTGAATGTGCTGATTTTAACACGATACCTGGAATATTACTTAGAAAGAAAACTATTGCTTATAATTTGTACTATATTTGCATTAATATCTTTAATAAACAATTTATACAAGTAAGCATTTTCGATCGGAGTATTATAAGACGATCTCTGTGACCCTAACATATACATAATTTAAATTAACATTGACACCTACTAAAGTCCTGATAAAGTCATCGTGAATCGTTGTTTGTATCTAATAAACCGTGTCTGTTAAACGTTTATCCGCTTTTACATTTTGTATGAACTCTAACCAATTTTTGTGAAAAAGTTTAAACATTGACGTTTTACCTTCGTCATCCAATGCACTATACCTTATAGAATTTATAGCTAACTGTTTTAAAAGTCGCAAGTCCGTTTTCTTGCTAGCGACACGTGTGAATGTAACATAATAGTCATGGGATAAAGGATCTGCCTCCCACACCCCTGGATCATCGCTGGATATAATCACAGGCAAGCCTAAAGCTAAATACGCAGCCAGTGGATGGTTCCGGACATCACTTACTAACGATAACACAGCATTGGATATCACATTCACTTCTATAGCTATGTCTCTCTGTTTCACTGCTGCCATTAGAGCTGGGTGCTTGATTAATGCGTAACCATGGCCTATTCTGTTTGAACCAAGCAGGATCGCATCCACTAAATTCTCATCGGTTGAAGTTCCAAACCAATTTGTTTCACCGCCGTGGAAAAAGTATTGCAAGTCGTCCTGAGCAGCTAGAAGGGGAAGAAAATCTTTCAGAGGTTTGCCCTTATCTTCCTGCCCCACTAAATCGAATCCAGCAAATAGATCGGGCAATTCTTTTTTCACTTTACGAGCGACGTCTATCACTTCTTGCATTTGCTCCATGTTGATACCGCGCCACCGCGTAACAATCAGTTTTATTCCGCAGAAGTCGGGGTGATCTTCTTTAAACTTCTTCGAGACTCTATCAAATAGATGAGCCAAGTAAGTAGAATCGTGTTCGGTGCCATTTAATTCATATAGTTTTGTTAATCCGCTCCTTACCTCGATGTATCTTATGTTGTCATCGTAAAATTCTTTTAAGCCTGCATAGAAATGTTTCTCCCTTACAGGTCTGTATGATATCAAATACTTTAGAGTTCGACAGATTTTGTTAAATCTATCCCACGTATAGTTAATATCGCCATTCGTGATATGCTCGTCATTTGTAAACAAACTAAAGTATTTCCTTAGCTCCGTATCAAAGGAAGTGACGTCACTTGATTCATTTCTTAATTCGCTCAAAAGACGCCACTCAACTGGACAAGGCCGTATGGGTACAGTTGTGGAGAATTGTAAGTGTAATTCTGTATTCGCGAAGCAAGCGTATAAGTGGTCCTCGTATGTTAGCTCCATTACACGATCGGTACTCAGCATGAGGGTGCTGTGAACATGAAGCGCGGCGCCCTTCGGCATTTTCCGTATAATTTGATAGACATTTGACTTGTCAATATGATGCTTATAGGTGAAATAGTGTCTTGAGAAGTTGGAGTATTGAGGATTATTGAATGCTTGGGATACTTCTAACCGTTTCCATTGCATGAGGATTTCGTTTGCTGTGACTTCATCATCTGTGAGACGCAGGCGTCCGCCAACTTGCATTTCAAATTCATCGTCTAGAATATTTTGCCTCTCGAAGTTTAAGTCGTTAAGAGAACGCGCGACAAGAGTTTGCCCGAACACGGCACACAATATAAAGATTACGAGCAACATTTTAATGGAAGATAATAACTACGTGGGGTCACTCACTGGCCTTTGCTACTCTCATACTGACTTGTTAGTGCAATTTGTTGATATTTATATAGATGTAAATTTTCCTAAGTATTTTGTTGGTTAAAGGGTCAGAAGTGTTCTATTGCACATTTAACACCAGGTGGTTTAAAACTTGGAAATTATATAAAACGCTATATGTTTAAAGGACGCACAACGAACCGAGTTTGAGTCTAAGTGCGGAAACTGAGTCCACCGACTATATAATATGTTTAAAGGGAAAATTTTCAATCTCAATTGTGCAGTAGAAACAAATGGCGAAAAGTTTAATCAATTAATATATATTTTAACAAAAAGCAACAAGAATGTAGTACAACATAAGTAAGGACATTAATATAACATACATTAATTGTGTATTAGGTATATATTGTACAAATTTTTGTACTAAGATTAGTTCTTATTTTATCTTAATTCGCACCTTTTATTGGTATTTTTTGTTAGTTTTAATGTTATTTGAATAATTTAATTTTTATGTTTATTTATTTAACAAAATTCTAATTTATTCTTTGCTTTTTCTATTGCATTTAAAACGTAAAATAATGATTTTATAAATCTCTAAGTTGAACGTTTCAGTAAGGTCGTTGACATTTGTGTTCAAAGTTTTTAGTTTTAAATAAAAGGAACGTGTTTTAAACGGAAAACTATGGGTTTCCTTAAATATATCATAATAATGTATCTAAAGGAAAACCATGAACCCTTACATAGATACCTAGTTATTATACTTATTCTAACATACATATCATAAATTAATCATACAAAAATAGGTATGCAATATTTAATTATATTTTACCGATTAATATTTAACAAAAGCTATATTTTAATAGATATATTTAAATAATTTAACACATAGTGATACGTTGGATTATTAAGCAAAGGCTCGTTTAACTACTGAAATAATTCAAATTAAATATTATAGGACTAGCTTCTTTCTTATAACATTAATTAGAAGGTGATAAAACAGAAGTAAGACTAAGACTTTATTTCCAATGAGTACCTAATATTATATGATTTTTCTAGAACATTTTCATAGTGAAATCGATCTTAAGGTTATATATGATTTGGCCTGTTAGACTGTGTAATAATTACGTAAAAAATTGTGACTGTATTGGACACTTTAGCAACAATATTGTGCAATGAACGCAAGAAAGTAATTTTGTTATTATTAGTACCCTTAGCTTACTGATACATTCCTATTACCTACGTAACCAAATAGATAACAAAAAATATTTGGTTATAAAACTATGATGATCTGTGGGCTCACTGTCAAACTAGTTAAAATAGTATTCTTGTAGCTATTATTTAAGTAAAAAAGTAAATAAATGACTGTTTAATATAAATTGATTGCTAGTTCTTAAATCAAGGTCGTGGGTTTAAGGAGTGGATGAGAAAAACTGGCAAAATTCTCTGTCGCTCTTTTTAATACCAAATTTGTCTTTTTTGTATGGAAAACTTTCCACAAGTTAAAATAAGTATCTTGACAGCACTTGATAAGATTTTTGCCGTGGTATAAAGATATTTGCGCATGTGCTTACCTTTAGCAGGAGACTTTATAATGACGTCTGCGCATCTAATAACTGTTGCATAGGTATGTGATGTTAAACAACATAATCTATGGAATTTATGCTTATAAATCCTATAAATTTTGTTTCAAGATGTTGAATTGGCCAAATTCGAGTCAATTATATAGTTAATAGAGTGAATAAACGGACATCCTCCCAATTTAATGTGGGTTGGTTATGGTGAAATGCCCAACATAGTACAACAATATAACTTAATAAGTAAAACATAACCGTTAACAAGCTTGAGTAATTTGTTTATTGTATAGTAAAACGGTAATTGATAATATATGTGAATACTACAGACATCTATGGACAGCTTATTAAACGATCTCCTATAGTTGTTAGTAGTGACATCTGGCAGACATAATTACACTTAGCACTGCATCAGCGCGTGCGCTATTCTACAATATAATAACGTTGTTCTAATTCGTCACTAGATGTCGTTATGTTTAATAATTTATATGTGAACTGGCCTATTCTGATACACCTATAGAACTAAATTTAATATTTAATAGCGCTTAATCATAATTTCACCTTTGCATTCGCAGCTGCTAATAAAAAATATTGGATTACAAAAAAAATGAAAATAGACTCCTTCAAGCAATAGCCAATAGTCACACATTTAACAATACACTTTTTATACAAGAATACGTCAAAACCTAAGTATTTCATCGCGCATGCGAAAAAAGGTGCTGCACCGAATACGTATCTAAATAAATATAATATTAGATTTCGCCTTACTAGCAAAAATTCCGAACTTCCTGGGTGTAGTATATGTATATGCTACATAGGTATATATATATATAGGTATATTTTTAATGTAAGGTATTGTTTCTATTAAATACAACAAGTCCAGTAAATATGTTAGTAATATGGTGATGTAGGTTTAAAATGAGATACTGTTTACTTAAGGAAAAGAAAAGAAATTCCGGACTGAAAAAAAGAGTAATGCAAAATCACACTATGGGTTCACTTAATTTAGTTCTAAGCTAAATTAGGAAAAAGGTACACAATTATTTTAAATCTATTCAACAATAGATGTCGCTACTTGCAGTATTCTTGACTGATCGATTTATTGATTCACACCTTAAAGTTATTTATATTAAATTTCAACAAGAACACAGACGTGTGTGCAAATATTATTATTTTAAATGAAATTGGTTTTGGGAAACTTGATTTTCTATAGTAATTTTAATTCATTATTTCTATTGTAGGTTTAAGGATTATTTATAGCACGAATATGACAACAAAATACACACTATAACTTATATTGTTGATAACTTTTATGTCTTTATGAAAATACGAAAAAAGCGAACGCTGTGTAAGATGCACCTTTATTGGATGAATATGAGCATCTAAAAGAACGGGTTAAATGCCCTACAATGAGTTTTGAGATAGACCTATGAAGTAGGTATGCATCATGTATAAGACAGCCTTCAGACATCAAACGAAAACAATTTATATTTTGTAGTTGAAGAAATGTTATTTTTTATATTTTCTTGAGATGAGATGCCACCGTAATCCATGACTTGTAGGATATTTTAAATTTGTGTTTTTAAATTAATACACCTTCAGTTAACTGTTTTGTACTGTAAATGTGTATAAAAATAAATCAGTAGCGCTTCAACCTTTTTAGGTCTGGATCACAGATTTCTGTATCTGTTTTATGTTCATTTGCTAATTTAATAGGCACACGAATTTATGGGCCTACGGCAAGCCGGTTTCCTTACGATGTTTTCGTTCACCGTTCGAGCGAGTGTTACATGCGCATAGAAAGTCTATTGGTGCACAGCCGGGGATCGAACCCTCGAACTCAGGGATGAGGGTCGCACGCTAAAGCCACTAGGCCAACACTGCTATGTTTGCGTAGGTATACACACTTAAATGTTAATATGTATATCAAGCATCGGGTAGACGCCGGCAATCGAGCTTTACACATAGGATAAAAGGTAATCTTCTTAATCATACTCTTTCAGAGTTTACCGCTGCTCTCATCACTATAGATCTCCACTTTTGGTTAGCATATCTCGACTAGACTGTTGCAGAGTGGATCCAGTTGCACTAATTAAATCGGTCCAACACGTTGGAGATCCGCCACGCGTAAGTTTCCCCTCCACATGTCCCCGGTAAAAGTAAAATAAAGTATGTATCAAAACCAAATCAGTTTTATTACGGTCACTGTTTTATTACCATTGAACTGAGTCACAAGGTACTTAGGTACGACGAAAGAGTACTTTGTCAAACAAGCGCAAAGTCATTCTTAGCGCTAACTTAGTGTAATTCCGGACGTCAACGTATTGAATTTGATATACAAAGTAATAGTTCCCACTTAGTCCCGCCTCTAAATCTTCCTGTAGGTTTTAGTTATAACAGTATTTTTTTAATTTCGAAAACGGACGTGATCACTACGTTCCAACACTACTTATTATATTTAAAATGGTCACTGACCATTATCTCTCACGATTTTGGTGTCTTGCGCAGATAAGCATTATTATATTGTCACAGATTATAAAAATTACCCTAAGGTCAAAACGTGATGACATATTTATAAAACACCGTAAGTAGCTCTGGATTTTTTCATATCATATTAGACTCTATTTTCATATGATAAGGTGTTTTTTAGAATGCTAATAGATACTATTAATGATCGTGATCTCACCAAGAACGGGTGCTACATGTTTAAATGAAGACACGCTTAAAACCATCTCTGAATAATAATGTATATTCGTATATGTACCAAAGCCATACCAAATATAGTGTTAATATTAACTAAATAAATAATACCGATAAATGCAGAATATCCAGAATAAACTTAGAAATAGGCTGATTAATGAATTCATGCCTGCAATAGTGTAAGGACTTTTTAAGTAACTATATGTATATTCGATTGAACATCTATTTTCTTAAAAGGCCTTGTAGCGCTAGGACCCCACGGACCATGGCCATGGGTCTCGACACCGAATGGGACAAAATCATATTTGGAGCCTAGACCCCTGTATTAGCATGCTAAAAATACACCCCTTGGTCCGTGGGGTACCGCTACAAGGCTTTTTATGGAAATAGCCAAAATGTGAGTCGACATCACAGGAGACCGAAGATCTGGTAGCTACCTCGGACAAAGAATTAGTAGTAGCTATTCAAAGGGGGAACGCTGCCAGTGTCTTGACTCCTTTTAATAATATATTTTAGTTATTATATTTTAAGGTTATTTATTGTTTTTAGTTAAGATAATTGTATAAGTACTTTATCTTTGTTGTTACAAATTACATTTTTATTGAACATCTTATTACTAAAGCACTACTCCCTTTCGCTTCATAAACAGTATTTGTTACATTTTCGCAGAAATCCTAAGGTTATATATGGAATATAGTAATACAGATAATG